TACCGTCGTGAAGTGTCAACGCCAATGGGGGAGTGGCGGAGACAAGAAGGAAGTAGGAAATAGTTGCATGTATAACCGTTGAGATGTATGTACGTGGATGAATAGGTTAATGTACATGTGTGTACGGTGAATAAATACGTAGATGCATACAAAAGATACGTAAGCACACACACACAGACACACACACACACACACACACACACACACATATATATATACTTATCAACACACAAATGCATGTTATGTCATAATAAGCAACTTCAATCGTTTTAAAATATACACATAAAAGGAAAGAAGGAAGTTTTATTACAATTTTCACCAAATAGTTACAATTAAAAGACAGAAAAACGTATGAATAAGAACTAGAACAAAAATATTATAACTCAAATACAAACATAAAGATAATTAAGAAAATTAAGGCAAAGAAATGGATAAGTAAAGCACTGAAATAATAAGAAATAAAAAGGAAAATTGAGAAATGATTAAAAGAAGGTAGAAATGTGAGATGAAATATTGTTTTAAACAAGAAAGTGGAATAAGTTTTCTCATAATGATCATAATAATAATGATGATTATAAAATGATGGTGATTATAATGATAAAGATAATGATGAATGAATAGTATAATGATGATAATAATGGTGACAATAAAAACAATACTAATGAAGAAAATGATGATAATGATAATGGTGATGATGTTAATAGCAATAATAATAATGATAATAATGATAATGACAATAATGTTATTGATAACGAAAATAACAGCAGCAACAATAATATTAATGGTAATAATGATTTTAATAATGACAAAGATAATGATAATGGTAAAATTGTCATCACTATTGATAAAGTGATAATAATGATATATAATAATATAGTAATAATATATAATAATAATAGTAATAATAAATAATAATAATAATAGAAAATAATGATAATAATAATAGTAATGATAATAATAATAGCAACGATAATGATAGTAGATAAAAAATGGAAGCATCCACACAACCACAAATAAAAGCTAATATTATGGAAAGACACAGTGTCGAAATAGATGTATAAACTAATACTTATATGCACGAAGAACGTGTATACGCACACCACACACACACGATACACACACATGCACACACACATACTGTGTGTGTATATGTATATATATATATATATATATATATATATATATATATATATTATATATATATATATATATATATATATATATATATATATATATATATATATATGAATCGAGATTTACACTTAACAGGTGAAGCCATTGAAATGATGATAATAATCGCGTAGGGAGAATAAATACATAGATCCATACAAAAGATACGTAAGCACACACACACACACAAACACACACACACACACACACACACACACACACACACACACACACACACACACACACACAACACACACACACAGCACAGCTCATAGTTTGCACAATAAAGAAATGGATTGTGATATTTAGACCTTCGGAGTGCATGGCTAACGTATTCGCGAATGGACGATAATGTCAGGATATATAAAACCCTTTTAGCGTTTTCATAGCAATGAAAGTGTATATCGTTCATACGTACTATTGAATAAAAATAATGTATGTAGATTTATGACCAATGATTATATTATAATCATATAAATGTTTTCTTATAAAGGAGAGAGAGAGAGAGAGAGAGAGAGAGAGAGAGAGAAGAGAGAGAGAGAGAGAGAGAGAGAGAGAGAGAGAGAGAGAGAGAGAGAGGGAGAGAGAAATAAGGAAAACCAAACCGAGATCTTAACCTATCCTTAAAATATCCGACTGTCCTGCCTATTCTTTCACGTGACGTATAGGCTTACCCATCGTCGCTGGTCATAACCCTTGAATGAAGTAAGAATCAACGACAAAACACCCGAATGTTGTTTATTTAAAATGTTATTGCTGTTTCCGTTATCCAACTTCTTTAGGGAAAGGCGGGGCACACAGCCGGAAAGTGAGAGGAAATGACCACATGTTCGGACAGCCACGTACGCCCATATAAACCCTCGGACTGAGGACAACGCGTCAGTCTCTGTTACACGTAGACTTGCATGGGGTTTGGTCTATTTATGCCGTTGTTTTACAGCAACTTCGGAAATTGCTGAAAGAGTCGGCCATACTGTCGCCATTGTGAAATTTATTTCCTTCATGAAATAAGCGATACGATATACGCATATACTTATATACACCCATAGATATATATATGTATATATATGTAAATCTATCTATTTAAGAAGATCCTCCTGGCGGGGGCACTTTTGCAGATTTTCATCCTCCTCTGAAGACGTCAAACACGAGAATCCAAATTCCATGTAAACCTTGTCCATCGCCTTTCAAAACTGTCATTATTATATATTTTTTCATTTTTTTTGTATTTTCAGCGTGGAGGTCCTGAAATGGTATCTCGAAGACGCATCGCAGTGTCTGAAAACAACAGAAAGATGACGCATAATTACCCCGTGTCTTCGAGTGGGAATTCTTCATCTTTGACGCGAGGAAACTGCAAAGAGCGAGACGCCATAAGAATATTTTAGGCTTTTGTTAATAGCATAAAGTTATTTACCCGATCCAAACTCCCTTTAAGCCGGTCATTAGTCGCACTGGATTATACATGCTGTATTTTGACTGCGTTTCCGTGTCATGTATTCTTTAGTCGGAAAAGTAAAACCGTTATGAGGCTGCATACATTTCCATGCAATGATGGCACTAATTCTCGGTGGAAATATATTTACCTCTGTGAGTATTCTGATAATATAGAAAGTTAAAGTAATCTATCTACATATATATTTATACATATTTGTTTGTCTGTATCTGTCTGTCTGTTTCTTTCTCTCTGTATGTCTTTATCTTTCTGTCTATATCTATATGTTTATATCTATCCATCTATCCATCAAACTTTCTCTCTCTCTCTCTCTCTCTCTCTCTCTCTCTCTCTCTCTCTCTATATATATATATATATTATATATATATATATATATATATATATATATATTTGTGTGTGTGTGTATACATATTATGTCATTATCATTGCTATCATTATTATCATAAATATTTTTTTGTTATCAATATTGTTATTATCGTCACTATCTTTTATTATCACTACCATCATTATCATTATAAAAATGATTACAATAAAACTGATAATTAAACGCGAAATAAAATGGTCCGAGCGCCCCTGGTTTGTTTACATAGTTGGTGCGTGAGCTACGAGTATTTCTGGTTATTGGATTCTTCTTCCGTGCACTCAGGACCTCTATAGCCCGGAGTTCGTGGAGAATGGAACCTCGGCGTCGTAGTCTAACGCTTCCGTTTCCGAAGCCAATCTACCCGAAACGAAAAAAGAAGAAAAAAAAGGGATTTCACCAGAGGAAGTAATTCCACAGAGCCGCCGCCAAAGACTGATCAATCCACCGAGAGGAGCGTCGTCGCATCGGAGGAGAAAACCGGTGTCATCGTCCGACAAAGAGAGGCCAAGGCAAACTCGACGTCTCAGCCCATTACACACCACACCCTGCGGCGCCTACTACAACTTGCACAGAAGTTGGAGAGGGCGTGGGGTTCCTAGACCAACCCCCCCCCCCTGACCAACACAGGACTCCGGCGTCAGGATAAGAGGACCTTCGTTGTTCACGTCGACAGCGGCGGCCATTAACCCAGAGTGGTCCCGAGCCATCATCTTCTAACCACAGCAAAGGAAGGTAGATTGAGCGGCCTCCCTACCACTAAGCAACACCCGAGCCGTCATCACAGCAAAGGAAGGTAGATTAAGCGGCCTCCCTACCACTAACCAACACCCGAGCCGTCATCACAGCAAAGGAAGGTAGATTAAGCGGCCTCCCTACCACTAACCAACACCCGAGCCTGCATCTTCTAACCACAGCAAAGGAAGGTAGATCAGATGGCCTTCCTACCACTAACCAACACCCGAGCCTGCATCTTCTAACCACAGCAAAGGAAGGTAGATCAGATGGCCTTCCTACCACTAACCAACACCCTAATTACCGCCTCGAAAGGGAGACACGAATTATCTATGGGCGTCTCATCAGCGATGTGACCTGACAGCTGTTGCATATATAAGCTCCCTTTGTATCTGACGTGTCCCGAGGAAGCAATAAGACGGAGAGGTCGTCAGGATGGGGTGCGTTTCCCTTCCCTTCATTGTCACAGGCACACACACACACACACTCTCTCTCTCTCTCTCTCTCTCTCTCTCTCTCTCTCTCACACACACACACACACACACACACACACACACACTCACTCTCTCTCTCTCTCTCTCTCTTTCTCTCTTTCACACACACACGCACTTTCTCTCTCTCTCACACACACACTATGTATGGACGTGTGAGATATGTAATAGAATTAATGACATGACAAGAGTGACAGAGCGAAAAGTAATGAATAAGAAGGCTTTCATGCCCCGCCCGCCTCGTGCTGGCAGCGGACGCATCTTCCAAGGGCGCGGCGACAGCGGCGGCTCACACTCCCCTCCTGAGCACGTGTGGAGGGAGGCCGCGAAGAGACGTGTGACTAATGGCCTTCCTTATATTTCAAACAAAAAACCTAGCCATAGATTTCAGGGTGCAATTAGTGTCACTGTTATCTGTGGCACCGTTGTACTTCAGAACAGAACAAATGGATATGTTCATGGGTACAATGGCACAATGTCTGCGATATATTCTTGTATTTGTCATATGTTATATTTTCTATAATACATGAGCTATGATTTCTATGATTAATGCAAAATACCGTGTATTGGCAAATGGAGGGACATGTTAGACTGTATATATTATGTAGTATAAATAAGTTATCCTATGCGCAGTTTACATAAATAAACAGAGTACAGTAACATATTTGCTTTGATATGACAACCATTCTTATCACACATGCAGTACATCGAAAATAATCACGCACTTGCGATCCTATAATCAACACAGTGTAACTTCTGTGCATTGCTTGGTATTTGGTCCATTCCT